ATTCAAATATTTAAGTAGATTTCTCTAAACAGAAAGAGAAGAATGAAATTCATATGTATGGACAATGAACTTAATTGTCATTACTGGGCTTTGTGATTTTGCTTTCCTATAGAAATAAACTCCTGAATCCTGATTTTATTATCATAGACTTAATTTCTTTCTAAGAGTCACTTTCTGCTTATCTCAGCATTGGATATTTGCTAGATTATTTCCTTTATCTAGAAAGGTAAATAAATACCTAATTGCTCTTTCTATGTAAGTAGAGACTTCAAAAAGATAATGAGGAAATCTTTTTCTTCTCGTTGGTCCTTTGGCCTTTTTAATCTCCCCTCCACTCCCAGCTGGGGTAGTCATTAAAATGCCTCAGACAACTGTGGAGTGTTCATGATCATAACTGTGATATGATCATATTACACACCCATTCAAAGTTCTCTGCTTCAGGGCCAAGGTATGGGTGATGTCACAGAGCCTGTGGACTTCCTGCTTCCTGGACTGGTTTCTTTGTTGTGAGAGGATACAATATGAGAGAAAGATGGACTCACTGTAATTCTGAGGATGAGATTTCTAACGAGGGTCTGGTAAATCTTGAGATATTTCCATGTGGATAAATTGATCTAATTTATTCCTTTCAACCTGGTATATAATATTCCACCACATGAAAATACTACATTTTCTTTATACATCATATTGATGGACATTTAGGTTCTTTCTAACTTTTTGCTATTGAAAATAATGTTGCCATGAACATTCATATATATGTTTTCTTATGCACATGTATAGAAGTTCCACTAGCACAGGGGTCTTTAAACTTTTTTTGTTAGCAAACAATTTGGAAGAACCTTTTCTCCTTACACATTTTAGAATTAGAATAAAACTTTTGAATCATAAACTTAAGTAGTTATTAAGGAAGTAATTTCCTTATAATGTAAACATTAACATTTAAAAGTAGAATTCTTAAAGGCATCCAATGGAATATAAATATCATAGTGATTTGAAACTCATCATCATCCATCAAAATATTAACAATATAAACAAGCTCTTCGCTTACAGTGAGAAATTTTCATCCCTCCCTTTTTTCTTTGGACTTGAATTTTCTTCACACTTCTGCCACAAATTTTTATCTAAATGTAACATACATTATGTGTGAATATCTGATCAATCATTCTATCATATTTTTCTGAAACAAATTTTATATAGAAATTTAAATTAAATTATGTAAAATCCCTTAGATAAGTGATTCTCAACCTGTGGGTCGCGACCCCTTTGGGGGTCGAATGACCCTTTCACAGGGGTCGCCTAAGACCATCGGAAAAGACATATATAATTACATATTGTTTTTGTGATTAATCACTATGCTTTAATTATGTTCAATTTGTAACAATGAAAATACATCCTGCATATCAGATATTTACATTACGATTCATAACAGTAGCAAAATTACAGTTATGAAGTAGCAATGAAAATAATTTTATGGTTGGGGGTCACCACAACATGAAGAACTGTATTAAAGGGTCGCGGCATTAGGAAGGTTGAGAACCACTGCCTTAGACCATACTACTGTTAACAATTCTTCTGAATAGAGTTATCATCAATTATTCCTAGTTCATAATTGATCAGTTAAATATTTTAAAATATTGACAAACATTTAACATGAAAATATCAATGGAGCTTTTAAGAAATTGGTTTGTATATCATAAATGAATTTTATTTATTTCTAGGAGGTAGGTTCAGCATCCGTTTATCCTTAGTTTTTGCTTTATATTGTAAACACTGAGGAATATTATTTCCAGAAGTAAGTAGATGACAATTGAAAGGAATTGTTTTAGTGATGTCATTTATTTAGTTGAAAGCTTTCCAAAATATATGCTATACAACACTTAGTGATCTCATTTTCAATGATTTATTAGTGGACCATTTGAATAGGCTTTCCCTCAATTTACTAGAAAACTAGTAATGTTAAACAATCTAACTTTCAAAAGGGATTGTTACTCAGTAGTATCACTCAGCTTTTCAACATTAACATCACTATTTCAGATTGTCTCTTTAGCTCCTTGCACGTTTTTACACTTTGGGGAAGTAAATTGTTTTAGCATTCAGAAGGAGAGACCTACACCTTTCTCTTTTAAAGTGGGAGGAAGAGAAGGTGGGGATTAGGAACCATGAAAGCCACTCAACTACACTGGTTCTCGGGTAAATCAGATTTAGGAGGGAGTATGAATAGAAGTTAAAGGCCTAGAATTGATCTCCTTAACACTCTCTGAGTTCCTCAGTTCTCAAGTTTGATGACTGCTACTCAGGTTCATATTCAAGTAGAAGAATTGCTAGTGTTGAGTCTCCTAAGCTGTGTGCCTCTTTCACGGATGACGTTGCTGTATCGCTCAAGGACTCAGGAGAAGTCCCTCTGAATGTCTGTCTATGTGAATCATAGGAGGTTTCTAACTTTGGGAAAAGATCATGGTCACTTTCTTTAAATAATTGGTGACCAGTGAGTAACCCATGAGAGTTCTAAGATATACTTAATTTATTTCTATAATTTGCTTTGTGACAATCTCAGGAAGTATTTTCATTCATGACTTTCTTTCCTTAAAGGGTATCCTTAGTGTACATCAACCAAGGTGGCATAAAGACAGCACTGTACTTGATTTGCATTCTGTGACCTGAAGCAAAAATGCCTGTAAGGCCTCTTAAAACCTCTGTTAATTGTAAAATAAACAGATGTCTAGTGCAGAAGGTTATTAGAAGTAGTTTGTTCAGTTTGAGAAAACTAGGAGTCAGGATTGCTTGACCTAGATTTTGATAGCAAGCCCAAGCCAAGTAAGCTACCAAGGTAAGTAAAATACTAAGGTAGTTTACTCTTAGGGCAAAAATTTTCTGGTTTGCAAATTTCTGGATGTAGTTGAAAAGGACAATACATTTCAAAAATAGAATAATGGTCATTCTCAGGCAGTAGAATTCTCCTTTAGAGACTGAGAAGGTTTAATATGCTAAATTTAAATAAGGAAAAATTAACTGGTGAATAGGACGAATGCCTGAACATTATGAAATAAACAAGATTTGAAACATAGACAATCCTATTTTACAGTTACAAGTTATTTTTTAAATCATTATAAAGACTTAATAATAAAATATAGTATCTGACAGTAAGTCCATAAGAATACATTAATAATAAGACACATCTTAATAACAGTCTTCCTCCTATAGTCATAATTAGCTAGTTAATATTAATATAGGGAGAGAGCAAAGAGGAGGCCAGACATTACAAGCATGGTCATCTGGGTAGCTTCACCAGGAAGCTACATCTTCATGCTCCCCAGGGAACCACAGGTCCATTCTCTGCAGATCCCTGGGGGAAGGGATCGAACAAAGGGGGAGATGGGCACATATGCAGTGAAGTCCGGGTGACTAGGGAAGATGCTTGTCTGTCAGAACAATGGATAGGGTAGGGGCTATTCCCCATCAGAAATTCATGAAATCTTGGAAAGTTAAAATCCCCAGATGAAGAGTTTACTCTCTTGTTCTCTTGCTCCTCTCTTGCTTTGTGACCAGCACACACCCATGCATTTGCTTGTTCTCTCAAAGTAGCCATGTAGCCTTAGGCAGCCACATGGCCCATATCCATGCAGACTTCACACACAGGATGCTAGACTGGACTGTATTTTAATATGAAGCAGAAATATGGGCAATGGTCTTAATTCTACCCCTGCTGAAGACAAGATTGGACTTCTTCCATAGCAACACAGGCAGAGATGGGACCTTGAAGGGGAACCCCTCTTAATTTTACATCATCAATAAAGCTTTCCAAGGAACCCCATCTTCCCATTGGAGCTTCAGGAAACTCTTTTCCTCATGGCACCCCAAGAACTCCACTTCCATCAATAACACTCTTACTTGTTTCAACAGGTGATACAGGAAAAGAGTGGTCCTATGAGCTATAGCAGCCAATGAATGGCCTGGGATTGCACTGGGAGGCAGCCAGGACAAAGGTACTATGTCCAGAAAATAAATTTTAGATCAGATTATTTATGGCTTAGAGCTGGGTCAATGAGGTAGGGTTTTTTTTCCCCCCCTTTAGAAAGTATACTGTTTATTAACTTTCTTCCAGTTCCCTGGCTTCATGAAATTTATGTTAAAAATTTGACATATTCCCAAATTAATTTTTAAGTACCATGGTCTTTGTTTATAGACATCCTTTTCCTCTAGGGTTTCCTGGGATATAAAACTGGTATATCTTGTAAGAAATGAAAAACATTTAAGCAAACTTAAGTAGCAAACATCCATCCATAAAAGAAAACTTGAGCTATTGTATTTAGAAAAGATAACATTTCTAACCTAGGTCTGACAATGTTAGGCTTTTCTGAGGTTTTCTTCCTTCCTTCCTTCTTTTCTTTCTTTCTTTTAAAAATATTTTTATTGATTTCAGAGAGGGAGAGAGAGAGATAGAAACATCAATGATGGGAGAGAATCATTGATTGGCTGCCTCCTGCACACCCTACACTGGGGATAGAGCCCGCAACCTGGGCATGTGCCCTGACTGGGAATCGAACTATGACCTCCTGGTTCATAGGTCAATGCTTAACCACTGAGCCACACCAGCCGGACCTGTGGTATTCTTTCTGATGTTCCTACAAGACAGAAAATCTAAATCACAAGGAGAGTATCTTTCTAACTTATTTTTTAATCCTAAAACATTGTTAATAAGAAACTTATAACTGGGCAGGGTCTAGAACTGCTTTATTGTATTATTAAGTGGAATCATGGAATTAAATTGTGGCCCATGATTGGGACACTAAGGTTAGGTTTTTAAAAATTAAGTATAAATTAAAGATGCTACATTAATGTGATTGAAAAATAAAAAAGCACGAAATAACAGCATCACATACGATGTGAGCTTTGGCCCTTGAAGCTGTGTAACCTGGCTGTCCTGTAAAAGTCACCTTCCCACCTGGCCTCCCAGCTATATCACTTTCTTGTATATTAATAAGGAGAATCTTTAAACACAGAGGTGAAGAGGAGGAAAATGGGAATAGGAAGAAAGAAAATGGCAAGAAAGAGGACAGGAAAAAGGTAAGTAGAAGGATGGGTAGAACAGAAATGTCTTTGTTTATTCTGGTCGCTATCGCAAAATACCATGGGTGGCATTAAACAACTGGAACTTATTTCTCACGAGTTTGGAGGCTAAAATCTGAGATCAAGGTGCTTGCATCAACAGTTTCTCTGTCTAGTGAGGGCCTCCTATGGAGTGGGGGAAGGGGTGCTAATCCCATTCCTGAGGGCTCTGCCCCATGACTTAATCACCTCCTAAAGGCCCCATCTCCAAATATCATCACCTTGGGGGTTAAGTTTCAACATAAGAATTGGGGGAAGTAGGGGGCACAAACCTTCAAACCATAGTAGAGGGGGGAAGACAGGTTTTAAACAAAGGATTAGCAAGTTTCTCCTAGCCCTCTCTTGCAATTGTCCTTTGTTTGTATGTATATTTGTAAATGAATAGAAGAGGAAGAAATGGAAAGAGGAAAAGAAAAAAGAAAAAAAGTCATTAATCTGGGGACAGGTGGTGGTGAGCCCCTGGGAATTTTAAAGCACATGCATGTATTACAAGAATAAACTTCTCTCTATTGCTGCTTCTTCTCATATCGCTTTTCTCTAGTGTTAACCAATTATATTTTACTATTTTGAGATTTAGGTTTTGGGAAAAAATTCAGAGCCAATAGGCACAAACTATTCGTGTAAGAAAGGGAAGCAGGGATGCGGGCCTATACCCACTCCCGCCCCTCTCCCCTGCCCCCGTACCAGAAACAAGCTAACCTTTCTCCAGCCCAGATTGGCCTGAAGGATTCTAGAATTAAATTTTCGGCACTGACCTGCTCCCACTGCAAATAGATGAACTGATTTTGCTGAAGATGCTTTATCTGTGCGCGGCACCATTTTTATTGACTTCAACTCTTCAGCAGGTGGCAGTGTTCCCCTCCATTCCCAGTGGCCTTGGTGTTCCCTTCTTTTCAAAAGAATATGGTCCCTTCTCTTTTATTCAGTCCACATACAGTGGCTAACTCCTTTACATCCTGGTTTGGAAGATATTCTCCAAATGATCATAGGAACCGAGGAGGAGAAATTTGCAACATGCAGCAATTTATGTTTTCATTTTTGATCCTTGAGGCTAATTTCAGGACAGTTAAAGGCAGAGTGTAAACACCAGTTAATATATTGTTTACTTGTCCCTGGCTTTCCCTACTCCCTATTTATTGTCTCTAACTTAGTCAGTCTTCTTGTTCCCTTCAATCACCCCTGTCAAGTCTTGAAAATGCCATTAAAAGCCATGCCTCGTCAATTTTTTCTCTAACTTATTTAGGTTTCTATAAAAGTAATGTTTTCTTCCCAACTTTATTCACTGAAGAGATATCAGGAAATTTCCCAGGCTCCAATCCAGAATCCCTTACTGAGTAGCTATGTAATCTAAACATGTAAACCCTTTGGGCTTCAATTTCTTCATTTGTAAAAAGGGATTAATGAACTAAAGGATCTTTGCGGTTTCTTGGATCATAAAGTAGTCTGCCATTGCCCTGAATGGTGGTGGTAGTTTGTGGCCCTATATGATTATTTCTGGAGGAAACTTTCTTTAAATAATACAAAGAGTGAAGAGTAGATCTAGTGGAGACAGTTGATTTAGGGGGAGAGGGTACTCAGGGTAAGATACAACCTGTCTACTACTCAGCATCTCTACTAACTGGAATTTAGGGCAGATAGTCTTATCCTATATAATAAAAAGCTAATATGCAAATAGACCGGATGGCCGAACAACCGGTCTTGACATGCGCTGACCACCAGGGGGTGCACATGGAACATGGCAGGCATCGGCCACGGTGGGATGGTGGAGCAGGTGAGTGGGGGCGCCCAGACCAAGGCGGGGAACCAGTCGCTGTCATCGGGGCGATCCTCTGGTGGCTACTAAAAATTCTTTGCTCCTGCGTACCGTGGTCCCGTCCGGCACTTGCACCCACTACTGGCGCCAGCCCCACTTGCACCCGCAGCCCGTGCTGGAGCTGCCACTCACACCTGCTGCCGGTGCCCGCTGCTGGCTCCCCATGCCGGTCCCGATCGCTCGGCGCCATCAGCGGGTGCAAGTGGCTGCCAGGCTAATTGCCCCTGAGGGCTTCTCCACCTCCCCCTGCTCCTGAGGGACGATAGGGGTAGCAGCTGCCGCTTGTACCCATTGACAGTGCCGGCCCCACTCACACCTACTGCTGGCGCTGGCCCCAATCTCTCTGTGCCATCAGTGTGTGGGAGCGGCAGCAGCAGCAGGGCTGCAGGCAGACAAGAGTCCAGGGGGGCTGGCCGTGGTGGGAGGGGCCGGGCAGGGGCGTGGAGGATGGGCTGAGACCCACCCCTGTGCCCCACCCCAGCCTCACTACCCACAGTTCCTTTTAAGGTGCATGAATTCATGCACTGAGCCCCTAGTGTAATTCTATGGTGCAGGAGACACCAAGCAGTTCTTTAGCCTTAAATGCTGGAAATTCCTTAGTGTGTTCATTTATTTAATAATGGTATAAGAGTTGAGCTCTCATCCTGGTTTACTTGATATTCTTTTGATAATTGTCATTTATTTGTTTTTAGCATTGATTCTATTAGATGAAATCAGTTTTTTATCTTAAAAAAATAATAAGTGATCATAGTAGAGAACTTTCAAACCATACAGAAAGCAATATATGAGAAGAGAAATTTCTTTCTGAAGCCCTCCCTTCCCATCCTGAGGTAACCCATGCTATCTTCTCTCTCATTTATTCTTCCAGATATTTCCCATGTATTTATGCAAAACACATATCGTATACACACGTATGTATTCTCACTGTTGTTTTACTTCACTATTTTAATGAAGCCTTTTTGTGACATATACTAATCCTAGGTAGAATTATACATGTAAAATAGATGAGTGAGCAAATGAAAAAATTACAGGATTAAGAAACAATAAATCATAAACTGAAAGCATTCTACTGCCAATCAAGTTGTCAACTGATAGTGATGATCCTTAAATGCTAGAGAGTCTGGGCTGAATTGACCGTGGGAAAATTATGTTTGAATAGTCATTGATAGGGGAAAGGGCTACAGTCATGGTGGTAGATGACCAGCGGTAATTCCTCCATCTTGCTACATGCTCCATCCAAGAGATGAAGCCTGTTCTTCCTCCCTGGAATCTTGACAGACTCTGTTGTTTGGATTGGTCAATAGAATGAGGCAAAAATGATGCTATTACAGTTCTGGGCCTAGACCTGGAGACTAGTTTTTGGTCTCTTGGAAGAGAATAATCATGTAAAGAGGTTTGGCTACCTTGCTGAAGAGAAAGGCCTGATAGGGGCGATGCGCTTCTGGAGGAAAAGAGACTAAAGAGGAGATAGGTTTAGCCAGCCTCTAGGTAACCCCATCATTCCAGCTGAGGCACTAGCCATGTGACTGAGGTCATGTTGAGTCCTCCAGCCCAAGTCAAGCCAACCCCAACCAACACTACATGAAGCAGAGATAAGCTGTCACTACTGTGTCCTGTCTGTATTATAGAACGGTGAGCAAGGAAATGGCTGTTGCTCTTCTAAGCTGCTACATAGACTAATTATCAAAATGAGGAAATTAACATAAGGTACAGACAAGCAGATATTTGCCATTGAATTTTAAAAATCATTTTTTAAAAAAAACTTTCTGTACATTATAGATAGGGTCAGCTATATAGAGGTTTCAGCCTTCCCACTTGGGTAAGGAGATTTATTGGGCAGAAGAAAAAAGAAGAAAAACAAAATTTGAAAAAGGATACATCAATATTATCCTTTAGGAATCTGCTTAACTGGGAAGGGGAGGAGTTTTTTATTCAGCAACTTCTAATAACTACCTGATATTGCTATCAGGCTGACCAAATATCTGCCAACATTGGTGATCCTTTCATTCATCCCTAGAGAAAAGTAGGGAGACCCAATGCTTAGAGTAGCAGCAAAACTACTTCCCATTTTCTCCCTTTAGCTGATGGAAGTGCTTGGTGGGGATTGAAAAGAATCCTCTCTCCTCAAGCCTAACTCCAGCAGGGCAGAAACGAACCCATTTTCTTCCCAGGTGTGGATTTCAGAACTTCTTAGATGCTGGAAAAGTAATCCTCACAATGAGTAGGCTCCAGGGTCTCTGGGGACAAGCTCAGCATCCTGAGAAACTGACATGGAAAATTTTACTCCTCCCCAATCCACTTCCCTTCATTTAACTTCATCTTCACTTTGCCCACCAAGCAGTGGTGGATATTCAATTGAGCACAGCTCAGGTTCTTACAATGAAATCTAGTGGAACATCTAGAAACCAGGGACTCTTTGTCCTTGGTTATTTGTAAAATAAAGAAGTCTCTAGCTCACACTAGGCTGCATGGACAGGATTTTCATCTTTGGAAACCAAAGTAGGAGTAGGTCTTTCTCCTACTCTTTCCAGGTTGCTCTCCATTTTCTTCCAATTTATGATCCTTGTCTCCCTCAGGCCCAGCAGGACCATGCACAAAATCAGCTTCCAGGAAATACCAACATTGAAGGTTCAGCAGGATGCTACTTCCTGTAGTCCCATCTTAAAAGGATGTTGTATTTAAATTACAAGATTTACGGAGCCTCAGAGATCGCTAAGAACATTGTAAGGTTTAATTAGTAGTCTCGGAGTTAGGTAATGGCCTGTGGCTTCTAAGCTAGGTCTCTTGAGGTTTCTAGTCTTCAGGGGCTGCTTGCAACTATGATGTGCTCATATACAATCTCCTTTCTCATATGCTGAATAAATCCTCTTTAGACCTTCCTAGGCGTCAACTCCCAATTACTGCAATACACATGATCTCTGATCTCCCAGTGCCCCTCAGCCTAAATCTTAACACAGTCTTTGGACTCCAATTGTCTCCTTGAGTTCTACTTCCCAGGGGAAAGAAAAGGAGGACATTCCTAGATTGGTGTTGACTGATGCCTATTTTCTCCAAGCAGAAGGTGGACGACTCGTCTTGCAGCTGATCAAGGTCCCGGTAAAAAGCGCTCCAGTTCTCAGCCTTTCACAGGGATAGGTCAACTAATAGGGCTGTAAGCAGACTTGACAGGTTTGTTCTGGGCTGACGGCCATTGACTAGGTTCTCCGACCAGATAAGTCACTTGCCACTCGCCGAGTTTACAGTAGGTGGGGCGCGCTCACCAGCTCAGGGTCAGTGACTGGAAGTCTGTTGCAACCTCGGTGTATCCCAGTAGCAGCAGGCCGCTGCACAAGTTCCCCTCCTGCCCCGGGAGCACGGCACCAGGAAGGTTCGCCCTGAGGGGCAGGACACTAGCGAGGAAGAGACGCAGATCCCCCCGGGGCACAGCCCCTTCTCCCGCGGCAGGGACTGCGCGGTGTGAGCCGATCCAGAGCTAGGAGGGTGGGAGCAGCCTGGGAACGCTCGTCCCGAGGTCTGCAAGGAGCAGCGGCGGCAGCCAGCGGCGCGGGGAGGCGGGGGCACGTGCTTGGATGTGGGTGCTTGTGTAACCAGCTTCCCCGTCGTCAGCCCCCGCGAAGCTCCGGTGGGAGGCTCTCCCGAGCGAGTTTTCCCCTCGCGAACCGGGCGGCCCTGGGGTCCCGCCGCCTGCACCGGGCGGGCGCACCGCGGGCGAAGGGAGCGAACCACTCGCCTCTCCGGCTCTGACAGGGGAGTGGGAATTTGGAAAGTTCCCCAACTAGGCACACACGTGACCGCCTCCTGAAAGTAGTTCCGGCCGCGGCCCGGGTATCCCTCCACCGCCTTGTGAACCCTCCTCGGGCTCCTCGGCCCCGCCCCCTCTCGGGGGTTGCCGCTTCCACCGCCGCGCACTTCTCATTCCGGCCCAGCGGCCCGGGCCCCCGGCGCGCACCGCCCAGCGCGGGAACCGGCCCGGGCCGGGGGCGGCCCGCCCATCCGCGTTTTCACCGCGGCCCGGAGGGGGCGGGGCGCGCTGGCCGGGGGACGGAGCTCTAGTTGGACGCGGTGAACCCAACCCGAGCTCCAACCGGGAAAATGCTCGGCCCTCCAGGGGGCAATGCCGGGGCGGCGGGGCGCATCCACCCTAGGGGGCCCGCTTCCAGCCCCCCAGGCCGTTGTCCTTGGGGACCTAGACATTCAGGGACCATGTTCTCACACTCGGCGGGCTCGGCCGGGAGCCTTCATGTTCAGGGCCGGAGGGCCGAGTGGCCGGGGAGGCGGGAGGTGGAGCGGTGCAAGGGGGCCGGTGAGGTGAGACGCCCTGGAGACACAATAGGGGGTTGTGCTTTGTGCTCAGACTGACACCTGGAGGACACGGAGCGGGAGGGGGGATTTTTCGGCCAAGGCTGCCGGATTCAAATCTCTGCGAAGGACTGTGATCCCACAGCGGTGCCAGAGCCCAGCCCGCAGGCCGCGCCGGGGGAAATCAGGGCGCGGAGCCAGGGGGGAGGGGGTGTCCCCGCTGCAGGGACCGTCCCGGCGTGTCCCGGTACCATGCCCAGGGGCTGCCACCCGGCCCTGTGCACCTGTGCGCAGGTAACTTCCCAACCCGAGTCAGTGACATCACTCCACGCGCCCGCCCCGGCTTTCACCTTTCAGCGCCC